CCTTTTCCAGGAAAAAAAAATCTAAGAGTGCTTGCCTTTCCTGTTTTTTTTTCCTCTTTTGCTTTCATATACAACATACATGTACAGACGTGTACACACACATATACATATATGGGAAGGAAAAGTGTCCTCGGTCGCATGGCTTTGCTGTCAATACAGCCTAGTCTGATACTGCTGGCTTTGGAGTGAGCCCAGCTCCCTTGAGCTCCTGCTCATATAAGCAGAGTCTTCAGCAGGACAGAGCTGCCTCAGATCCCACAATGGGGATCACAGCCTTAAAATCTTGCAGTGTTGGAGTGAGCACACATTGTTCAGCCTCAAAAGATGATCATCATGTGGTGTAGTTTTGCTAGATCCCATCCACCAGTCTTTTTGTGTACTCTCTGAAGGTCAGGAAAACCTGGCTGATCCTGGTTTTTGGCCTCTGGACAGAGAGAGAGAGGAGGCTGTTCAAGAAGGACAGCCAGCACAGACTGAGGAAGTGGAGGAAGGGCAACAGTGGCTGCTGCAGGGCTGTTTGCTGAGTGCTCATGGAGGACATGTCTCCCTGAGGGCCTACCAAAGGCCTGCCCCTCTGCCCTACCCAAGGTGTTCTCTTCAGATTATTGGCAGCAGCAACCACTGTTACATGAGTTTGTGACACACATGTAGGTCAGTGAGCCTCACTGGCTTTCCTCCAACAGACTTACTCCATGTGTGGGTATGCAAGTGAAGGTACAAAATGAAGAGCAGGAATAGGGAACCTGTGTTCATTGAAACAGTCTGTGTTGGGATGGTGCTTGAGATATGTGCTTCTGCTTCACATCAGAGAATTGGGCAACAAGGGCCAGAGTCGTGGGTATTTCCCGCTGTGGAGGAGGGAGTTTAATGACCAGTGCTAGAGCTTATGTCATCAGCTTCCCTGGAAATAACCCCCACTCCTGCAACACACCAAAGCAGTAGTGAATGCGCATGCCTCCTGGCTTTACTTGGAAAAGGCATTTCTAGGAATGTCTGCTTGGCGTGGCCTCCTGCCTAATTGTGTTTATGAGTCAAGTTTTGTGGTGAGGCTTTAAGCCTTCCCTTCCCTAGCATCATTACACTCCCAGGCTGGGCTGTGAGCCACCCTCTCTCTCACAGATGCCTGCTGTGGGGTTCCTCAGCCCTTGCTCCAACTCAGTGGTGGACAGGTGCTGTTTGTGGGTTTGTCTTAGGCTTAAGATTGATGCAGTTAGAACTAAGAGAAAAGGGCTGGCAGGGAGCAGAGTAGGAGCACCTCCTCATGACTTCCTTGTCCCCACAGCTCTTTCATGTGCTCTCTCTGGGCTCTGACAGGTCTGCATGTTACCCTGCTGACCCCACTCCACCCCACACTCTTATTCTGAGAAGAGGCAAAACTGACTTTAGAACCCAGATACACCCCACAATATTTAAGACCCAGGTTTCATCATGCATGTGGTTTGGGACATGCAGGTATAAAAGCCAGATATAAGCAGTTGTTCCCACTTTCAGGTTTCAGTAAAGGGATTCATTTGTTGTCACTTGAATTTTGCAAGTTCTTGATGAGCTCCATAGCACTGACCGTGTTCTCGTAAAACACTAAGTCCTACCCACTTAGAGTGGCATAGTTAACTTTCATGGCACTCGGGCTTTGCAGTGTGTTCTGGGGCAGTCTGTGACTTCTTCACTAAACTGGCAACTGTCATTCATTTCTAGATTTATTTTTCCTTTACTGATTACTGTATTCTTCTCTGCCTCTCTTATCTCAGATGCAGCTCTGCACGATTAGAAAGAGACCCATAAACAGGCATGAGCATGGGCTGCAGGCATGGAGAGGACTCTCAGAACTCTTGGATATCCCAGCATGGCTACCTAGTGGACAAATATGTGTGCCCTCTAGCCACACCCTTCAGCTGCCAGGCTGCAGTCAGGGGTGAGCCTTGGGTTCTGGGCAGCCTGTCCTGGTCCTGGGATCTATAGTCAGACCCACCCCACCCTCTGGCGTGTCTGCCACATGCAGTGACCTACAGAGGAGGACAGGCTGCACTGCGCAAACCATGAAGCAGATGGCAGAAGGGCAGCCTGTAGCCGCTCCTAGGCCAGATGAGTTGGCTCAGTGTTGTTAAAACTATTGAATTGGTTGCTGATACCAGGTAGATTGTATTTGGCTGTAAGTAGCAGAGTGTCTGATTGATAATGTTTTAAGTTATAAAGAAATTTAGTTCAAGCCTTGACCAAGAAACCTGGTGATGGTTGCTCCCAGGTCAGGGCATCCCTGAGGTCCCTCTTTGTATCCTTGCTGCCGTTCCACCCCAGGGGCTTATCACCAGTGGTTACAGAGCAGCTGATGTAGCTGTAAGCATGACACTCACTTCTAGTTTCCTAACAGAAATCTGAGGCAGAGATAGATAGCTTCCCTTTCATCAGGAAGGGAAAACTTTTCCAGAAGTCCCCACCTCACCCCACAACCTTTTCTTTAGTTCTCCATGGCTGGAGTCAGAGGTAGGATGGACTATTCTGACAAACTAGTGCCCCAAACAAAATCAGAGTGATTCAAGATGTCTGCCACAGTTTTAATACTTCAAAATCAGAAAACTTCACTGCAGACTGTTTTTGCTTGAGAGATGGGAAGCTCTAACAGCACCGAGCCTTCACTCTTGCCTACAGTGCCTTGCCCTTGGGCCAGGATTCTGCCAGTCACATCACAGTGCCCGCATCCCTTCATCCTTCTGTGTACTCTGCTACACTGCCTGGCTTCCGTGGGCTTCTGCTTTACGGTCCTGTCTGAGGTCTGTTTCAGTGTTGACACTTCAAATTTCAGGAATTACAGCAGGAATCTTTTCTTGCCTGCTTTATACTAAGCAGTGTTTGCAAGTAGAGTTGCAATGTCTTGAGTCATTTTATAAGTTTATGTCTGGGAGCATTTGTGCCTGGGAATGTTAGCAAAAGCATGTCTTTCAATATTCTGGTAATTAGAAATTTTAGGTAAGAATATGGAGCCCTTGGGTTAGACACCTAGGACCTTCCATGTTTAGTGACATCATGCCTTATGGTGGGTTGTGGAATATGTACAAGTATGCATGTGCATTGAGTTTCCTGTATTGCTTCTCTGTCTTAATCTAGCTGGGCAGCTACACTTAGGTTGCTAAGTTTCTTCTGCATTTGATACCTGGCTGAGTTTGTTATGCCACACCTGAATTTGCCAGTCTTTTTACATTCATTTGTCTTGTCATCCTTCATAGAACAATGGACCTAGCTTATGTAGTTAGAAACTACATCTCATTCTTCTCTGAATCTCCTGCAGCACAGTTCCTGGGAAATAGCACTCAGTTGGTGTTTAAAAGAAGATGAATTTATTCCATGGGCAACTTCAGGTGTTTTACTGCCTTACAAGTCATTCAAATGTAGAAGACCTCAAAAAGCATGTGCTCTGTAGGTTCCCTTGGAATATTTATAGTTAACCCACTAGGCAGTCCAGAATGTGCTCTAAGTGGTTGGTGCTGCCACACATATGTAGGAGAAAGGGTTTTTAAAAAGCTAAGGATCAGAAGAAATAAGGATCATGGTTTCATCATTAATATAGGACTTTATGGTTTGCAAAGCATATTGGCATATATTACCTCATTCCACCCTGTAAGACATTACTCCCACTTTTTAAGTGAGGTTGAGGGAAACTAAGTGACTCTCCCAAGGTCACACAGCCAGTAAGCCACTGAGCAGGGATTGAAGCTGCACTTACCATTTTCCCACAGCTCTCTGGTGACATGCTGACAGGACCTACCAAAGTCAAGGGAGACCAATATGGGAGAATATGATTAACTTTTCAAATCATCAGAAGTAAACTACTTTTTTTTAATGTTCATTTTTATTTTTGAGACAGAGATACAGAGCATGAGTGAGGGAGGGGCAGAGAGAGAGGGAGATAGAATCCAAAGCAGGCTCCAGGCTTTGAGCTGTCAGCACGGAGCCCGACTTGGGGCTTGAACTCATAAACTATGAGATCATGACCTGAGCCAAAGTCAGACGCTCAACTGACTGAGCCACCCAGGTGCCCCAGAAGTAAACTACCTTTTATTTATTTATTTATTTAATTTTTTTTTTTTTAACGTTTATTTATTTTTGAGACAGAGAGAGACAGAGCATGAACGGGGGGGGGTCAGAGAGAGAGGGAGACACAGAATTCAAAACAGGCCCCAGGCTCTGAGCTGTCAGCACGGAGCCCGACGCAGGGCTCGAACTCACCGACCGTGAGATCATGACCTGAGCCGAAGTCGGACGCTTAACCCACCAAGCCACCCAGGCGCCCCTATTTATTTATTTTTTAATGTTTATTTATTTTTGAGACAGAGAGAGACAGAGCATGAACGGGGGAGGGTCAGAGAGAGGGAGACACAGAATCTGAAATAGGCTCCAGGCTCTGAGCTGTCAGCACAGAGCCCGACGCGGGGCTGGAACTCATGGACCGCAAGATCATGACCTGAGCCGAAGTCGGCCGCTTAACCGACTGAGCCACCCAGGCGCCGTAAACTACCTTTTAAAACTGGGAAGCCTGCATGATAAGGACACCTTCTTCACCTGAACATCTGTGAATGTGCACAACTGGTGTGCAGATCATCAGTGTGGTGTCACTGCTATGGTCCTGAGCATTCAGGGGCACCAATGACCAATGGGATAGGCAGAAGCGCCCCCCCCCCCACCCCCCCCACACACACACACACACACACACACACACACACACACACACACACACACGTACTGGTGAGCGGCAACTGTGTGTTTCAGGGATTCCTTGCAGAGAAATTCTGAAAATCCCAGAAGATGGGCAGCCCTTCCCAAGCCTCAGCATTGTGTATGAAAGGTTCTAAAGCTGAGGCAGCTCCAGACCCAGACAATGTGACCACGGTTTTGAAGCTGTGGGACTCTGAGACCTTTTCAAGAAACCTCAGATGGATTTTTTCTTTTCATCATATGTTGAGTAAAGTAGAGAGATGTCACTTCTCTCTTTTTTTCTCCCCCTACAGGACAAGACATTTCAAAGAAAGTATTAAATTCATTCACGAGTGCCGACTCAGGGGTGAGGGTTGTCTTGTACACTGGTATGTATGCCTCTACCTAATTAATAATAGCTTAGCATTTCTTCTCAACCTGATTTCTGTCAAGTGTTTTTCTGTGTGTGATTAATTATTTCAGCTCTTAATAGTTCATCTACCATCTGAATCTTGAACATACACCCCATCTGACCCCTGCCATTTGTTAGTCATCATTAGTTTTTGATGACAGAGAACCCTATGTTTTTTTTTATTTTCATTTTCACAGTAGGATTTCTGTAGTGACTGTCAAGGTTACTGGACAACAGAAAACTCTTTTCTAGCCTATGTCTATCATTCCCTCAAAACAGCCTCCTGTGGAGGGTACAGATTTTGTGGGCTCATCCCTGAAACTTCAGTGACCTTCCAAAACACCGTTTCTTTCTGGAGAGTTTTGATCACATATGTGGGTGTTTAGCATTGTATTAGTGTAACACCAAAATAACCATTTCTTCTACATATGCAGATTGGGGCTTTTATGTATGTTTAGCTTAGTACTTTGAAAAGATCTGAATAGATTCTTAGAAATAAATAGTTTATATATAGCTCTCTACCGCATTCAGCTATACTTTGTGCAGATATGTATATACATACACGAGTACGTACACACTGCAGAGAAAGCTGTTAAAACGCACATAATCCAAGGACAATGTACATAAAGTTCTTAGCACTGTACCTGGCACATGGTAAGCTCTCAGTGAGTGTTGGCTCTCATATTTTATTTTTTTATTTTTAATTTAAATATAGTTGACATTAGTTTCAGGTGTACAATGTAGTGATTTGACAATTATATATATTATGAAATGCTTGTTACCACTAGTATTCATACTAATCACATAACTAATATGTCAAAGGAACCAGTAGGCAACATCCTAGAGCTGGAACTCTGCTGTTCATTAAAGTGCAGGCTGACAAAGCATAAGAGACTGTTGAGAACTGAGAGCAAACTGAGGGTTGATGGGGGGTGGGAGGGAGGAGAGGGTGGGTGATGGGTATTGAGGAGGGCACCTTTTGGGATGAGCACTGGGTGTTGTATGGAAACCAATTTGACAATAAATTTCATATATAAAAAAAAAAAAAAAAAGAATGAAAAAAAAAAAAGTGCAGGCTGAGCATTTCCCTCTTTATATTGAATGAGGCTCCATATTGAATACTCTTCAGCCACAGAAAAAGATAAGATCTTGCTATTTACAGCAACATGGATAGATCTAGAGGGTATTATGCTAAGTGAAATATGTCAGAGGAAGCAAATACCATAAGATTTTACTTATATGTGGAATCTAAAAAACAAAACACATGAATGAACAAACAAAAAACAAACAAAAGGCAGAACCAGACCTGTAAATACAGAGAACAAACTGATGGTTGCTGGAGGGGAGGAGGTAGGAGGATGGGCAAAATGGGTGAAGGGGAGTAGGAGATACAAGGTTCCAGTTTTGGAATGAATAAGTCATGGGTATAAAAGGTACAGCGTAGGGAATATAGTCAATGGTATTAGCATTGAATGGTGACAGATGGGAGCTACACTTGTGGTGAGCACGGCATAATGTAAAACTTGTAGAATCACCTGGAATTAATGTAACATTGTATGTCAACTATACACAGTTTTTTAAAAAAGAGACAATATTATATTGTAAAATATAGATATTTTTAAAAAGCTTAACAGTCCTTTGAGTTTCCCCAAAGAAGTTGCTGTTGCAGTGAAAGCTCTTTGGAAATGTGAAGTGATGTCTCCTGGGCTGCATTGCTGCTGAGATTGGTGATAAACTTGTCTTGACCAAGGAGATCCATTGCTTGATATCCAGGAGAGCCATCAATGAAAACTAAACTGTTCAAAGGACCTGTAACCCATAATAGGAGAGCAGGGATAGTAGATCATTTGATTGCTTTAGAAAAAAACAGCATTCTGCAGTTGTATGCAGTTCTTGAAATTGTGTGATTTACCTTTTTTACTTTTAAAAAGAGTAGGACATGTAACACATTGTGGGTTTTGTAATGGTAATCTACATTTGATTAAAAGCACTTTGAGGAGTGCAGTTGGGACCATATAAGGGGAGTTCTGAAATCTTGTGCCTGTGCTTCTATGGCTGAATTAGAATCTCTAGGTTTGTACCCCAAGAGGATGTATTTTTTTAAAAGCTCTCAGTATTTCTGAAATAAAGCCCTAAGAAAGAGCCACTACTTGAGAGTCATTGTTTTATTATTATTATTATTATTATTATTATCATCATCATCATCATCATCATCATTTGAATATATGTAGATATGATATTCTAGGAATTTGTATTTCATATGGTTGTATAAATCTGAAGATAGGCTTTTCTAAAAATGAGAAATTTTCTAAACTTCCCCATATTAAACCGTTGCTAGAACACTCTAAATCTGATGCAGCACAGCCTTCTGTGACCACCTTAATTTGCATATGCATTTAAAATTGGTCCCTTACTCAGTCTGCCTGATATAATTAACCGTTCTTGACCCATACATCCCAGAGCACATGGAATGTGTCCTCTCTTGTACTCTGCTTAGTTATGTCAAGAAGAATAAATATTTCCTAAGAGCTTCTGTATTTAATGGGTTTTTCAGTTATAGATTTAGTTTTCATTTATCTAAGAAAACCAGACTTAAAAAAAAATGAAGTCTTCTAAACTGCTGCAGTTTATGAATAGATTTATTGCATAGATCCAAGACCCTTCAAGTTCCTGTAATGTGCTTTGGTTAGTTTTTTTTTTCTGTCCTGGGAAATGGGGAATATGTGAAGAGGGGCTAGGAAACATAGAAAATCATAAAACTGAAGTGTCCGAAACCATAGCCAGTAGGAAATCTACAAAAAAATGAGGCTAACACAGATACTGAATGCCTGAGATTCTACTGTATAATAAAGTAGAAGCGTATAATAAAGTAGAAGCTTATATGTTTCTGAATAATTTCATACTGGCTTGGTGTCCACTCATAATCCAAGGCAGGATGACTTTCTCAAACGAGATCCACAGAATCTCCTGCTCTCAGTGAATCATAGGATAGACTTCTGGACTGAAACCCTTTGCCCATGTGAGTTCTTTTGGCCCTACAGCCTGGCTGGCGTCTCCAGGAGCGTGACTCTGGTGATCGCATACATCATGACTGTCACCGACTTTGGCTGGGAGGATGCCCTGCACACTGTGCGTGCAGGGAGGTCCTGTGCCAACCCCAACCTGGGCTTCCAGAGACAGCTCCAGGAGTTTGAGAAGCATGAAGTCCACCAGGTAACCATGTTCAGGAGACTTTGGTGATGTAAACAGCAGCCCCTGGGAAGATGCCACAATCTTTCTGTACATCATGGAGGTTGGAGTTAGAAAGGCCCACAGAAGACATCTAGTCCAAGAATGCCCCACCTGCATCCCCATTAAAGTCCTCAGCTTAGAACATATATTTTACCATCAGACCCAGTATTAGCTTCTGTTTATCTCCCTTTGGGTCAAGTACCATTTTCTTGGTTTGGCTTGCTTTCATGTCCTCAGGCCACAATCTGGAAGAAGCAGTTATTTCTCATGCTTGACACTGGCTGGCCAACCACAGACCCATGATTACCCAATGCCTATTTATTCCTTGTTTATATGTGGCAAAATCTGTACCGTTAAGTAATGGGTAAAATCTATGTGAATGCAGGTGTGTGTGTGACATTTTGGTTTTTTTAACTTCTCCAGTACCGACAGTGGCTGAAGGAAGAATATGGAGAGAGCCCTTTGCGGGATGCAGAAGAAGCCAAAAACATTCTGGGTAAATATAAAGAGCAAGGGCGTGTGGAGTCCCAGCCTGGTACGAGGCGGTGGAGCAGCTTTCAGACCCTGCCTCCTCTGGCCTACAGCAACTATACGACGGAGACCTAATAACAGAGTGATCTGGTGCCTGCCTTTCCATCCCTTGTCTTCAGTGCATTTCTGCTGGGTGCCCTGGAATACTGACTGCCCCCATGGAGGACAGGAGAGGGAGGGTGGCGAAGGTGGATCCAGGCTTCTTCTCCATGAACCCACCCCAGGCCCTTTCACTCAGCCAACTTCTGCCCTGCCTGAGCTTGGGGAGTCTGCTTGACTGCCCCGTACCAACTCATGTGTGCACCTGTGTGCAGGCAAGTGTGCATGTGTGCCCGTGAGCATGAATGTTCATATTGCAGCAACAGTAACAAAATCCATGCTGACAGCCTTGGTATCACCACCCTTCCTTTTTCCAAGACTCCACATGGAAGTCATTTGAAGTTAACATTTTAAAAGCTTGTCAGCCGGAAGCAGCCTGTGGCTGTGAGCAAACAGAATCCAGGGTGGTCATGGTGAAAGCAGCAGGAGTCCAGACTCCCTCCTGAGTGTTGTTCCAGGGGCCCTGGAAGACAGAGAAGGGGTGCTCTGAGCATTGCCTCAATCTTTCAGTGAAAGTGTCCCAGGCTGTGGCTCCTACCACCTCAAGTCAAGACCCCCTTCTCAGCCCATCATATCCCTGAGTTCTACTTAGTGTTTGTTCTTGGTGGCACTGACTATATTTAAGTTCCATGGGGAGACCAACCACTTCAACCCAGGCTGTATGCCCAGAGCGCCCTTCCTTTCTACTCCTGTCCAGCTTCACTTGCTCTCAACCTCTTGTTCTCTTGCTGTTAGCACTCTGCAAGGGCCTCTTTGCAACATTTGCATGCATCTTCAGGAATTGGGAAGAGCATTTATTAGGCACTGTAGCAAGTTTGCATTTAAAAATACATTTTAAAATGCCTGAGCACTTATTATGCACTTTTGTGTATGCTGTGGATTTGATATTCGACCTCAGCTACCTCATTAAATGTTTTTTGAAAAGGTGTTTTCGTTACTGTAATCAACTCATAGTTGAAAATGTTTGGTCATGATTGCTTTTGAAGCCAAAGTACAAAAGCATCAGTATCAATGGGCTATTTAAAATTTTTGACTGGAGCTCCAATGATGCTTTCTAGTGGGTAAAATTTCACATTCAGGCCGAGGCCAGCAGGCCTGGAGAATGTCTGCAGTTTGCAGCGTGGCGCAGCAGGAATCTTGGAATGCTGCGAGCAATCTCGTGGTTCAGTCTTTTATACCACCTCAAATTGTTTAAACACACAAAGCCACAAGAATGAAAAAGTATGCTTGGCCTCTCCCAGAAAAGATGTTGCAACCCAGTTTCTCCAAATTCTACCAACAAAAGAGCCCCTGAATAAGAAGAGCAGTTTTCCTGTGCATATAGAAGGTATGTCACAGGTGAGCTCTTTGGGGACCAGAGAAAACTCTACACACCCACATAGGCCCCTGATATACACTGGGAAAGGGAAGCGTGGCCATGGACTTTTCCATCTACAGCTGAAATAATTTGTCTATAAGGTACATTTTTTTTTCTTAAACCAAAAAGAAATGTGAATATGTTCACAGAAATAATATTTAGGATATCAGCTGGAATCCTTAAATATGTGTGTACATTTATGAACATCTAAATGTATTCTTATAGGTCTTAAAATGTTGCTTTAATATTTGTTGCCAGTAATATTCTTTCTCCACAGCCACTCCAAGAATTCTGAAGTACTGGGCCTTTCTCAGAAGACTGTAATGTACCTGAAGTTTCTGAAATATTGCAAAGCCACAGAGCTTAAGGCTGGTGCTGCCAAAAAGAAAAGCAACCTAGAGTTTATTTTTAAGTATCCAGAAGTGATTTGTAAACTTGTTTTTCATTTTAAATTGACTACATGTGCGATGGTGGTGATATATGTTGAGAACTAAGGGTACTCTTTTAGCAAGAGAAAATATTTTTACCTTAATTCCACTGCTGCATCAATTTCTTTAACCTTAACTTTGATGTTTAAGCAATTTTTTTAAATGTTTGTTTATTTTTGATAGAGATGGAGACAGAATGCGAGTGGGTTAGGGGCAGAGAGAGAGGGAGACGCAGAATCTGAAGCAGGCTCCAGGCTCCGAGCTGTCAGCACAGAGCCTGATGCGGGGCTCAAACTCATGAGCTGTGAGATCATGACCTGAGCAAAGTTGGACACTCAACCGACTGAGCCACCCAGGCGCCCCATGTTTAAGCAATCTGAAGAGCCCTGCTGCACTGCTTTGGTTACTATTTAGTAATCATGATTGCTTCTCATGAGAATTACGCTGTGTAAACTCTGCCCATATGTTCTTCAATTCCCCAGCTTGGGACATATCTCTTGGTGTGTGTTTCACCCATGGTTTGCCTTCTCCATGGTGGAATTTACCAAGAGCTACACATTTTTGTTAACAAAAGGCAACCTAGCATTTAACTTCATGGGCAATGCATTCTTCCTGAGGTGAGGGGTGGACACTGTATGTGTTTCTGCCTATGAGGGTCATGATACAGGATTGGAGCCTGCTCTCATACCAGTAATGCTGGTTTAATTGCAGAGGCAATGAAAAGTAAATTAATTTCACCATGAGAGAAAAATTGATCTTCAATGTGAACAGAAAGAAATTCATAAATTGGACTTATAGTTTGTTTGCACACGTGTGAGAACTGAATATTTGGCACCCCTGGAATTATTGCACTTATCTCAGGGGTGTGCAGCCCAGGTACTCCATGATCATTTGCTGCACATTGTTGAATGCAGTTTATTCTGATTCCGTATTCAGCTTTTAATTTGAAGAAACACACACTGGCCTAAAGAGCAATTTAAGTCAATTTCCTAAATTTTCCATTTCTAAATCCAGGGGAGAAGGAAGGAAATTTGACTTTTTAGTCTAAGGATAGGGTTGGCTTGAACTAAGGGCAGGTGAACACAGGAGCTGATGTACCTGGACCCTTTAACTGTAGGTGGCAGGCTTGACCTGTGTTCTGAGTTTCTGCTTCAACCAGGGAGGGGCTCAGGAAAGGGGCTGGGAGCTGTGTGTTGGGATGAAGAGGACCCTCTGTACTGGCAACAGCCCCTGATGGGTGTGAGATGATACACAGTGATCAGTTTGGGTCATTAAAATGCTTATTCTGACTCAGCAGGCCTGCCTGAATGTAGTACAGGTAATCTAGTTGTAGGAACCTTTGAGTACTCCCATGTGTCATACTTAAAAGCCCCAAGATGTTTCCACTTCCCACTTGTGAGGATATGCCAGAGCCTTGTCTCTGGAAAGCTCAGGGAAAATGGCCAAGGCTGAACACAGAGCCTCAGGAAGACCTCTGTTCTGTGTGTAGGACATGAGGCAGCAGAATTAGGAAAACAGGTTTGCTGGCAATGGCCCCAATCCAATAGGGTCACCCACCCCTTGCAGCCTGACATCCTTTCCTGTCCACTTCTTCTTGCTATAGGATGAGATCTGGCACCAACAATAATCATCTAATAATTGGTGTTCTGTGGGTTACAAAGTATCACTGCAAAGCTTTATAAACCCACAGTCAGGGTTATTCATTTGAGTCTCAAAGAGGCTAAGAAATACACTGGAAAGTGAAAATGTTAGTGCTTCTTTGCCTGAATCTGGATCTTTTGATCCCAAATCAGTGGGTAAAGTGAGAGGGAGGGGCTGAGCCACCTCTGGGCTTTGCACTTAGAAGTTTGTGAGCCTCTAATGAGGGCTAAGGGAGAACAAGCACCCCTGTAGCAAAGCTGCATGGCTACTGAAGCCAGAACCTCTATTTGCTTCTCCCCTTTTCTCCCTGGAGAGTTTGTTTTGATCCCCATTAATGGTGTTGACAGGAAAATTGACAATTACAGAGTAAGTCCTAAGGACTAGTATAGGTGCTCCCAAAATGTGTGGGAAAGGGAAAGAGAAACACCATTCCAGTTTTGGGGTGAGTTAGGCAGTGTTCAGGGAAGGTATCTTGGGAAAAGTGATACCTAATTTGAGACTTGAAGCTTAAGTGCTAGAATTAGCTGGGCATAGTGGGAGGAAAGGGAGTCCAGGCCCAGGCTCAGCATGCATGTTAAGTTGGTGGCATGAGGGAACACAGTGCACTGGGGTGACCCCAAGTCATTGTGTAAACTAAAGCAAGAACCAAGGGGTGGGCATTGGTGGTAAGTGGTACAGACAAAGCTGCACACACAAGCAAAGACTCAGCTGGCCAAGGTGATACCATTGCTTAGTGTCTGTTGTATAATAACTGGTTTACTTCTTATACCAGCCCTTGGAGCTGATCAACCTCAGAGGTCAGGTGCCCTGCCAGCTTTCCACAGACTGATTCTTGAGCTTGGAACCTCATGAGCAGCATGAGTACCATTATGCAGATATAATGGGTATAATGGGTGGGGGCTCATTGAATGTGCTGGAGCAAGCAGGAACCATGGTTGGTGTGTAGGTGGAGAATTAAGGCGGAGGGTGGCAGTCAGGGGGCAGCTGTTATGTCATCCAGGTGATTGAAACTAGTGCCCTGAACAGGGTCATGGTGGTAGAGATGAAAAGGGACAAAGGAGGCAAATAGATTTGGGATTGAGGGACGTTGGGGAGGGAGGAGCAAATGCTCTTAGTATTGGGATGAACATGGAGGACTATGGGTTTTGTGGCCTTGCCACTCCGGAATCTTCCAACACAGTGGTTCTTTGTACCAGTATCCTCCTTCCCCATGATGATTGTTTGTAGGATCTGAAATGTCAAGGTTAGATTTAAGGGGGCTGCCAGACCTAGGACCTCCAAAGGCAGTCATCCCAGCTTTGCAGATTAGGGCCTCAAGTTTATCCGTGTACACAGGACAGACTCCCTGGAATAGACTCATGACAATTAATGTGGAATTCAAATGTCCAGTTTCATAATTTATCATGAAAAATAAAGTAGCTTTATGAAAACCAATTTTATTCACTAGACTATCTCTTTCATTATCAAGATTTGTGAGGGAAGCCAAATTAGTCACTAGGCATTGTCTTGTGAGATGGACATGGAGCTAAGAGCCTTAGTGGTGTGCAGGGAGTAATCCTGATCTGGCATCCCCCATGATTGGAGTGCTTTTCCCATAACATGCTTGAGTGGTGTTTCTGCCAGGCTCCTGCTTTGCTTCCTGAAGTCACTTTTCCAGGGTCTAGCAGACTACCCAGTTTATATACTTTTTTTTTTCCCCCAAGGTTTAAATCATGTTTTTTAGAGCACCTTCATTAACCTTGGGTATTCTTGTGTGTCTTCAAAAGCATTTATGCTTTTCTGTGAAGATGAGTTCCCACTAGTGGCTTTTTTATTTTTTAGGTGCTTGTTCTTTCTAGTTTCTGTCTCAGCAGGGAACCCCATTTCCAACTTCTGGGGCTTCTTTGTGTTACTCATGCACAGAGACAGCCTATAAATTCTGGTGATTTGTGTGCATATGTGTGTGCACATACACCTGTGTTTTTTTGGTTTTTAGTTTTTAGAGAAATCTTTAACTTTCAGGAGAGTCTTGCGTACAACAACAAAGGTACCTTGAACTCGGGTACCCTAGATGGCAGGTACCTGGAACACCCAGGGAAATGTCAGAGCTCATGTTGCACAACCAGAGCTGGTCACAAAGGGCTGCTCTTTGCACCAGTATCTAGTCATAAAAATAGGGAACACACTAAAATTCAAAACCCTGTGATCCCACACTAGATGACTCCTCCCATCCTGGCCCTAAGTTATTAATAATTTTATTAAGAATGTGCTTTCAACACGCTTATATTTATATATGTACTTAACAAGAAATCACCAAGACTTCAGAGGGAAGTTCCTCTTCCCTTTCCTTTTTATTGCCCAGAGAAAGGGAGAAACTGAGAAGAAAAAAAAAAAGCTGCCTTTGATTTGTAACTGAAGGCTTGAGCATGTCAGTCATTCCCTTAGGATTTAGTAGGGTCTCCTTAAACCTTGGGCTCATCAAGACCATCATGGACTTGGATTCATATAACACAATGGCCACATTTCATCATGCAGAGAGATCTTGACACTTTGCTCTTATTTTCCTACCCCTGCTATAGATCTTGAGACCTGTCACTGCAATAACAGTACATAATTAGTTAAGCCAGTACCAAAATTAGTAATCAAAATTAGTATCTATTTTGCAGCTTAGGCTTAACCACCTAATAAGCATCTGACTAAAGGTTACAAGTACTGTGTCTGTGTCTCTTTCCATCTGGGGAAAGAATTGCCAGTACGTTTTTGAACATCTGCAAGTTTGGGTTTATTTTGACTCTGGATATCTTATGCAAACTGTTGATCAAGAGTTAGTAATTTGCAGTTAATTTTCCTTAAGCTTCTAGTTCAGTTATTAGAGTCTGGTGTCAAAAGAGCTATTTTAGCAGGTGACTGAAATTACTAGGCAGTTCAACATTCTGAGTGTGGTGTTCACTGTTTATTTAGAAGTAGGGTTAAGAGAAGATGTTTTAGATAGGATTATACCTGATCATAGCCTTTACACAAAGGCCTATTTAAGAAAACTGGAGAGAGGGGGAAAAATAAAACTGATTTTTACAGGGTTAACAATTCCTTCTAGGAATAATGTCACTTGCAACAATTTTGGGAAACAACACTGATCATGCCATTTCACCATTTGTCCAACTTGACCCAAGGAGACCCCATTACAGGGGCCTTTCCACTCAGCTGCTCAGTCCTCCAGGGCCCACATCAGTGACAAGTGAAAATATAAATAAGAAGTTGCCATCGACATTATGTTGGCCTCTCTCTCCCCTCAGAGTCCATTTATCATCAAGTGTTTTGCCCTCAGTTTCTTGTGCCCTTCCCAGAAGTGGCCAAACCAGCACAAACAGGAACCATACTTTCTAGTGAGCAGGTTTGCCTTTTGTTGGTTGGCTGTGGGATTCCCCAAGGCACTGATATGGAGCCTTTTGGGAAAATAAAAATCAAAAGGCCTCTACATTGTGCACTAAAGAAATGTCACCTTCTGCTTTGCAAAGGGTGTGCCCTTCAAGGCAAGAGACCCAAGTGGCACTGAGCTTCCTCAGAATGGGAGTCCCTAGAGAAACTTGTCATGTGCCAGGAGTCAAATGTTTGGATGCTCCTTGGTTTGTGTTAAGCCACACTGATGTGGTGACAGACAGAAAGTCAAGAAGGTGTGAGAGGAGAGGACCATTTCTTGACTGTTTTCAGAGGCCTTCATGGATCTCCCCAAATCAGGTGCATCCCAGAGGTGTATTGCAGGTATGTGCTAAAACCCACATTTCATGCCTTGATATTCACTTCCCCACAGCACACAGCCCTGTTCTCTGCTTTGCCAGAGCTCCTTCCTATTATCTTCCACCTTCCAGGAGGAGGAAGGCACAGGTCCTCACTAAGCAGGTTGGGGGATAGAGGTGGTACTTAGTAAATGAGAGGCTAGGGCCCTGGACTGGTGACCAGGAAGCCAAGATAGTCACATGTCAGGCAGGCCTGACTCAGGTCCAGTTTCATCCTGGTTCTCTGGAATACCTTGGGGAAGTCCCAGAGGAGGCAGCCCACTCATGTGGGGAACTTCTTCTAAGACGGGAGTGAAAGAAGCTCCCTAGGAGGGATGAGCAGTGCTAGAGGGTACCCTGTGTCATGGCACAGTGATGTGGCCAGAGGCAGCCTCACAGCTTTCCTGAGTGGCATTTTATGTGTCTATAAATGCCCTTCTAATCCTGAAGAGCTCACATCTGGATAACAAGACAATCAATCTTGTGATAGTCAACAATTATTGAGTACATAATGTGGGAGAGAAGCTGGCATTGAGATTTTTCCTTGAAATCACTTCTGGCAACAATCCTGTTGGATAGATTTTACTATTATCACCATTTTTCAGATGAAGAAACCAAGTTCTAGAGAACTTGAGCATTTCCCAGTCTCAAGGCCAGAAAGTGGCCAAGTGAGAATTAGAATCCAAGCAATCTGACTGAGGTGTGCGTAAATGTCACCACTCCTTTCAAAATGCCACTACCTCTCCGAGGCTAAGCTAATGAAATACTAACAGTCATGTGCTTTCATGTTCAAGTTTTTTTTCTGAAGGTGGGTTTACATTAGATCACAGGAATAGTGGGGAGATTAAGGTGGAAGATAGGTAGATATATGTAAGTAGGCACATGAGAAAGACTTTTTTTTTCTTTTCATCAAAGCCTGCCCATTGTGCATACACTATGGCTACCACACATACTTCTGACTGGGCATTTCTGACTTAGCCTAGAGTATCAGGCAGAGTACTGAGATGTCCTGGGGCTCCAGGAAGTGCTTTGCAAGAATACAGAATGGCCCATGTGTGTATGGGAAGGGGGACGGGGCTAATGCCTGGTACTTTAAGCAGATGGTATTTTGTACTTGATGTACCATCATTACATAAATGGAGGAACTTCTGTGAGGGTTTTGCAAGAAGCTTAGGGATTTGCTGTCATTCAAGTCAAATAACTCAAATGAAGACACTCATTGAGGACAGAGACATGGGAAGCAACAGTGGATGTCAAAGCAACCAGAGACTGACAGGACCTCCTTCCAACCCCTGGGGCCGAGGGCCAGGGCTGGGAGATGGAGTTACTATAGCCAAGTAAGAAGTGGGCTGTGCAGGGCTGTCCAGAAGGACCTGGGCAAGGAAGGTCTTTAAGAAGTATGGGAGGTTGGGAGGGAGCAGAGTAGAAATTTCCCATCTGATGTCCTCCTGTCCTATCTCCCTGAACCTAATGGGAAGCTGGCCAGCAGAGGATTCTGTATGCTGTGATCTTGGGGGACAGAACAGGATGATTGCCATACAACAGGCAGACCTGGAACTCAGCCTTGGGTAGGGCGGAGATTCAGTGATAGGATGGAGGAAGTGCCACAAGCTTCCAAGAAGTATCTGAGTGTCAGCAAGCTGATACTAAAAGTGGGTCTGAGTGGGGAGTCTGGTTCTCCTACACACTTTGTCCTGAAGTGTGCTATCTGGAGCTTGGCCTGTGACTCACTGCTTTCATCTGTAGAGAGCATTTAGAATCATCCATGCCTGCCAATGTGCCCTCACTGATCTGTGCTTTCCTATGGCCTAGCTGGTGAAATGGCATCCCCTGAGAGAAGACCACCAGGGTCAGGTGGCATCTGAGCATCTGCTACAAACTTTGCCCTTGTGAGAGTCCCCCCTCCTCCAGACCACAGCCCATGAAGAGCAGGGGAGGATATTCTGCAGTGCCTCAACCATGCTACAGTGCCCACAGCTCACTGGGAGAACCACTTCATGAGATTTTTATAGAGCTAGCACCGTTCAGACTGCCATGAGGGAAAGGAAAATGAGGCAGGGCAGCCTTGTCTTCAGATTTTGAGTTGGGGATAGAAGAGAGTCACTCCCAAATGTTCTGTGAACAAATGCTGAGCATAGAAGCATGAATGCAGGCCAAGTGGACCACAGATGCTTCACAGAGAGTGTCCTGCTAGGAAGACTTGGAAGAAGAATCAAGTGCATCCAGGGAAGAGGGTGATACACAGGTAAAGGCACAGGCAAGAGTGAACATGGTGTACTTGGAAGTCCAAGACCTTAGAGAAGGTGATTGTGAGGGAGGTGAGGGTTGGAAAGTAGAGTGCTTAATCCCGTCCTGTCGTATAAACTGTAGGCAGCCGTGGGAGGGCCTTGGATTGATTTGGGTCCACCAGGATGGGCTAGAGTCAAGAAGTTCAAGCAGTTAGGAGACAGGCTCACTGGATGCCCCCATGGGACCTCTCCAATGACAAATCTACCAAGTGAGGCAACATATATAGTTACCACCTTGAAGTAATTATAGGCAGTGCTGGTTTGCTTTCTCCAGAAGCAGAAACAGAGTTAGGGGTACAAAGGATTATTGGCAGATAGCATCTGTGACAGGAGGGCAGTGGGGCTGTCAGGAAGACAGTCCCACCTCCCCATCAGAGTAGCCTAGGGGCAGGCATGGCTGGTTGCCTCAGAAGAATGGCCTGAGCTGCCAGAGAAGGCACCCCTGAGAGGTCAGAGCTCAGGGATACTTACCATTCTCACACAGTAGGACAGCCTGATGCTCTCCAGGGACACCTGGTACTAAAGTGCAGCCTGCAGAGATTTGTCTCCACAGTGTCTCATACAGCAGGACTTCCCAAAATGCTTCGCCCAAACTCCAGTGCTGGATTCTTCAATGTGGCTTGGTCATTTGGGTGCCTCTGGCAACTGAAAGCCCTCTCCCCTCTTCTCTCCTTCTCCCCTTGTCCCCCCTCTGTCCTCCTGTCCCCTCTCCCTCCTCCCCCTTCACTCCCCCTCCTCCCCTCTTCCCCCCAGTTCTCAGATTAGAACTGGGTGTAGAGAAGGTTGAAAACAATGCCAGGGTTTAGCGGATTCCAACCATTCTCCTCACAATAATTGCAGCCTCAGCTGCCACCAGGGATGCAGCAGGACCTCTCCACTCCTGGGGCAGGAGATGTACAGACACACTGTTTATATAGCATTTATTAAAAACAAGCTTTAGTAACAAGTAAAAGAGAATCTTTTATTACCATCCAGAGCCACAATCCTAAACCATTCCAGTGATAAAATATGTCTCCCCTGGAAACTTACTTTGTTGATCTAAGTTTAAACAGTGGCTGTCTAGAGTTATACATAAGCTTAAGTTAAGTTAAGTTAAGTATACATAAGTTATACATAAGCTTAAAATGTACATGTTTTTATTATATCCTTTAATTAACAATATGTTCTACATGGAAGTGAGTGTGGAGAACTCCCAGTTAATGGGCATGACTGGGACATAGGAAATCAACTGGTCGGTTGTGTTGTGTTGTTTTGTTTTTCTTTTCTTTTCCAGTAAATTCAGAGTGATTTGGAATCCAAGCTCCATGGGGCAAGTTTGGTCTCCAGTCTCTGCGAGATTACATTTCTGCACTTGCAGAGTAGATTTGAAATAACCAAGGGTTTTATACTCAGTTCCTTTAATCTGGCATTCTGAGTGACCACTTGAATGTTTACTTGTCTAAATATTTTTGGCTGCAGACATATTAGAAAACCACAAGAATTGGTCCCAAAGAAACCTAGACATGCTATTTATAGAATTTGATGTGGAATGGGATTTGTATGCATCTTGCCCTATCTTATCTTTTTAGTTAACACTTTTTCTACCTACTTGTTTATCTGTTGTTCAACATGAAATAAATTTTTCAAAATAAACTAAGTGTTCTATGACCAATGATGAGTGAAGATCAACTGATAAATCTCACATAAAGAGAAGTTCAGTTTTGACAAAATCATTGACAAATTCATAGAAGTTATGGCTTAAAAATTGTAATTATTCATTAATGTGGCAGACCAACATCTAGGTATATGTTCCTCCCATTTTTCAACATATGCATTACTGTAATTAAAGAGTATTCATACATGACTTTTTCCTTTTTACTGTGATTTTTTATTTATTATGATAATACAAAATTCAATAAAAGAACATTTTTACAGCATGTGTAAAATGGCCCCTATTATTCTTTACTTCATGACCATTACTGACTGTCACATAGAGGATCCAGGTGTGAAATGCACAGGTATGATTCTGGGTTCACAAGGTCCTTCAGTGAAAAACAAAACACATTTTTATGTGCTTCACTTTCTTCTTTCTGTATCAGTCCTCTTTCCTTAGGCAATATTGGAGGCCTGAAAGCCTGTCTGATTTCACTGTAGCCTGCATTAGTGGGTGCCTTGTGCCCCTATTCTAATTTGGTTTTATCACATTTCCTAACATGTAAGATTTGGCTGTTTCCATTCTCTATAGAGACAACAGTGAAAAGATAATGAAAATTCTCCAGCTTTTCACATGTTTCTTTCATTTTTTCTGGTTCTTTCTTCAAAGATAATTAAAGATTACTTTGGTTATTTTTGAGGACGGTGGGTGGGAAAGCTGCTTTATTTTCCCTGTGCTGTGTTCTCCTGTGGGTATACCTTCCATTAAGAAGCTCATTATAAGAGGGGCGCCTGGGTGGCTCAGTTGGTTGAACGTGAGACTCTTGATTTCAGCTGAGGTCATGATCCCAGGATCATGGGATCAAACCCCATGTCAGATTCCATGCTGAGCATGGAGCCTGCTTAAGACTCTCTCTCTCTCCCTCTGCAACTCTCACTCTATCTCTAAAATTAAAAAAAAATTTTAAAAGAGGCTCATTATACAAAATTCTACATTTCATAAGAGGTCAATGGAGGCTGAAGTTTCCCTTTTCTCTTTGTTAAAGAATTCCCATTAGTGTGTCTTTAAATTACCATCTCCCTTAATATATTTCATAGAGTCAGGTATAAAATTACTCCATGTATATATAACTTATTAAGGCTACTTCTTCTATTGAAAACATCACAGTACACCTCTCGTGATGGGACCTAATTAAAATATTTGTGCAGTTTTGATAACTCCCAGTCATAAAACATATCCTTCCTCTGTGCCAAAAATCACCAAGTCCTTTGGTCTAACAGAAGTATAGGCTTCTACCAGTAGACCATTAGCTTCTTGAAAACAGGACCTGGTGCACAATAGGTGCTTACATTCTTTTCTACCATGAACTCTTGTCCTGTGGTTTTCTTTGCTCCTGCCAGCCTTTCCTGCTGTCAGGACCTCTTATGGTCTTGCTCTGTTTAGGTGGTCGCTGCACCCTTTGGGCCAGCAAGCATGGATGCAGGACCCCCTAGTAATTAACACTTTTTTAACACCAGGTGCCTTGGTTCCCCTCTCTGCCCTCCAGCACCAGAACTCCAGGGCACAAAATCTGTGCTTTTACTACTACAACTTCTCTCCTGTTTCCTTGCCAATGTGAGTGCTTGGAGCCACATGTTTTCTATCTCTTGTGTGCTGGCCAAACAATCTACCAATGAAGAAAAAGCCCCTCTTGTTCACTGACTTCTTCCTGCCCACCAGTTAGCACTTTGAGAATTGTAGAAACATGAGCACCGTGGAATGGGTAGGACCTGGTTTAGCACCTGGAGCTTCATTATCTTCCTTACATGCTGACGTCATTTGTTTCTGAGCCTTTCTTTAAAAAAATAGTCAAATGTTTGAGAATTCAATTTTAGCCTCTTAAACTTTCTTATCAAGGCCTTCTACCAGCATCCTAATCTTGTTTTATTTTGCTTTTTGAGCAAATAAGAGGCTAATGTGTTCATTTCCTTTTTCTGTGTTTGAGACAACCCAAATTATTGGCAACCCCACCATGCATTCAGCAATGGGATAGACCCCTGCCCAGCTGAGCCCACATGTCCACTCAAGAGGGTTGAGGACTGCATTTAGGTGCAGAGGAAAGGCCTTTACCAGAGTCTCCTGTGAATTGCTTCTGCAGCCCCAACCAGAGCCCATCCACCCTCTTCTTGCTTCACATATCTTCTTGTGGCTTTGATTTTTAAACTATTATATATTTCTTACAATATCATTGACCTTGTCACCTTTCACTCAAATCCATATAGTTACTATCTGATAGCCTTGTTCTGTTTCCTGGATTTCTTCATTCACTGCCTTTCTCACAATTTACACTCATTTCTCAGAAGAGTTTGATGCTGATTGTTTGCTGTGAAATTAGCTCTGAACAAAGTTCATGGTACCAGTTGAAATAGCTGTTTAAAGCAACTTTTCTTTTAGAGATACACAGCGTCTGTTACTGGAATCCCACACCTCTCTAGAAAAGAACTGAGCTAACATCAAGCAACGTGAGCGATAAGCCCTAAGCCAACATGTTGATGGCCAAGACCCCCATGAAGAATCTTGATTCAGATCTGAAGTGTCTTTGGTATACTGCCATACACAAACAGTATCCAAGTACATAACTGTTTTAATTTACAACATCTTTTCTTCAGGTTTCTTTGGGGAAAGATTAGACTCTCAAGATTTTCCATCTAACAGCTTCTTTCTGAGATCATGAAAATTTCTCCCCACCAGCACCTAAATAAAAGTAGTCTACAATAAAATTCTGAAAATTACTTTTATTTGGCCGATTTTGTAATGCTTTATGTTTTCCACTTTCACATATATTAATTCATTTTACCCACAAACCTATGCATCCATATTTCGGGGCTAACTAGAAGGACCAGATCTAGATAGATGTCAGTTCTGACTCTTAGTCCAGTGCTCTTTGCACTACACCATGTTGGAGCCAATAGACAGCAAGCTCTTAATCTGAACAAAACACAAATATAACCTGCCAAAAGTATTTAGAAACAAATATTGAGGCAACTTTATCATGTGACATAGTTCTCAATGGATTGATTTATGAATTAATGAAGCAGAAATGAATAACAAGAGAGGCCACAGTTGACCATGAGGGAGTGTTGTCTGTACAAGATACATTTATGTGAGAAAATTCCTTTCTTCAAGGATAACTTTAATATGATATTGTCTTTTAGGCTTATGGACTTGAATTTGTTGTGCCTGGGATCCACTGAAGAAATCTGAACAAGCCAGTGGGTGGCATCTAGATTAGGAGGGGCAGCAGACAGAAATGGGGTCTTTCTGGGAGGGACACTGCTGGAAGAGCCAAGAAAAACCACGCTAGAAGAACTAAGAAAGACAAAGTTGCAGAAAAGAAGAAAGGGGCAAGGCAGAGGCTGTACAGGAGAGGGAGTGGGGGGTGGGGACCAAGAACTGAGCAAACAGCAGGGAATTTGATCTAGGTTAGGAAGAGTCTTGCAGGAGCAGGTGCTCACACAGAAGGAGTACCCATGTGCTCCTGGGAATCTGTGAGGGGGAGTGAAAGGATGCTCACCATCTATAGTTGGACAGGTCAAATGTGTACTTACACTTTTTAAGAAATACAATTCTGGACCAATGACATATTCAGTCTAATACCAGATCATCAGATGTAAGTTAATACACCTTTAAGACCATAGAGTCAATCCTCTTTTGCCCAAAGGTAAGAATTGTTTTGCCCTAACCTTCCCCCCCCCCAAAAAAAAACCCCCACACAACTCTGAAGTTCATAGAAAAGAATCCACTTTTTCCAAAGAAAATTTTGAGTAGGAAAAGAAGCAACGGGACAACTGAAAAGTAGTTATGACAACCATTTTAGAGAGACAATGAGTAAATATTTAAAAGGACAATGATTAAGTATCATAGTGAATATATCTCTTTCTTAGCTAGAGTAAACCTAGTCAAGATGTTGAATCAGTACTCCCCACACACACTTCGGATTCTGTAAGTTTAAAACTCTAAAGTGAAAAAGCAGAAAACCATGATGTTCTTTGGAAGCAAAATACAACTTAGTATTTCAGAAAATAGCCTAACTTACACCACTTAGGTAGTAAGGATTTTATTTTGTCCAACCCATATGCTTTTCAGCCTGATTATGGAGCATGACAACTGTCAATACATGGAAAGAAAACTTTTCAAAATTATTTATTGACAAAAAAAGAGGTAAGTAACATTTAAGGTAAAAAAAAATCTTTGGATCTTCTCCAGCAATGTCACCTTTTTCTTATTTCTATATTTTAGGAAATGCTTATTTTTTTAATGTGTTTGTTTCCTGAATCCTGCTCAGCAAAAATGGTGTGTATATATTTCACAAAATATGCATGGGACAAATACTGTTGTCTTGATAATATTTCAGTGCATGTTGTCCTAGTTGGTCAGCAAAAATCAAAGAGAATGTTC